AAAAAAAAAAAAAAAAAGGAAGCAAGGAAAATAAATGTTACATGATATCCATCAGTTTTCATTCAGTTATTAACAAATTTGAATCCCTCTCCCACTTTTGAAGAGTAATGATTTTAAAAATCACATAAAGTAACATTTATGCCATGATCCAAATAAGTTATTGATTTATTTTCTGGATTTATATCCTGCTTTTGGACTGAAATCATTTGCAATGGACATCCTGAAAATTACATAAAAGTTGGAAGAAAACAAAACCAGCCCAGGAATCAATGCCTGGTATCTTTATTTTCTTCTCTCATTCCTTTTTTCCCCCCTGGTCAAGACTGGTGATAAACAGTCCTATAGAAGACGGTACAGTCCATGATGGGCCAGAACCAGATGTGGTTTTCACATTCCTCATTTATATCCCTTAAAACTCCCCCCCTTCCAACAGTGCACTTGGTGGCACATTTCTCAGTGCATAGATAGAGATTAAGAGTTATTGCTGGACTCATTTCTATATAAGGCCAAAATGGTACCACACATATAACACACACAGAATTTTCTTGAAAGTTTCAACCACATAAACTAACAAGGAATTCTGAAGATGACAAGAAAAACTAATACTCCTTTTATATCTAATATATTTAAGCATTTTTAAAAATATTGGACAGCAAAGGGAACTCTACTACTTGCATTTTCATGTACCCTCAGTGCAATGAACATTAAGCAACCATGTTGTGTGCAGAGAAGTGCAACTGAAATAATTCCGTTAATTAAAAAATATATTTATGCTGGCTAAATATCTTGCAAGACATAATCTAGCTGGCAATCTTGTCACAGTTTGTGGCTACCACCTAACACTGCTGCATTTTAAAGTGAAATAAATGGATTGAGTGCTTAGAATTCTATTAAACCAGAACTTACTATTTTCTTCATTGTTTGGCAAAATATGTTCACTGTATGCAAGAATCAAAAACAAGCAACAAAATACTACAAGGTGCATGTTTGATGGTTCTGTTTCCAGTCACGAGATGAAACATATGTACAAAACTTGTCTTTCTTGCCCCTGATATATATTTTTTACACCCAGAGATACCTGATTCATTCTAATAAAAACCCAAGAAGACACCAATTTTATATCTGGTGAAATGAAAACAAGCTATAGATGTATTTAGTGTCTTAATAACAACAACAATATCTATATCATACTTAAAAACTAAACATGGAACAGAAATAAGGGAATATCAATTAAATTAGAATATACACAAAGCAGATATATTAAAAACCTAGGCAGCTCTCATTAAGGAAGTAATGGAATACCAAATAGATAACTGCTTTATAATAAAAAGAACAAACTTGATATATATAACCTACTAATAGTATATGCCTAATTAAATCAGGTAAAATTAAGCAATACACAAGCCACAAGTCCCTAGCATTGAAGGTAAATTAACAGAGAACTCTGGTGAAGAAATATTTAGCTTTTGTGGTGAAGATCCTGAATTCCTGAAAAAACCTGTTCGCCCAGGGGTGGCAGACAAAACATGCGATCAAACACTGCTTGTTCACCCACTTTTAAGGGTTTTTTTTTAAAAAAATGATCTGACACCTTATTAAAATATGTTTTACCAAGGATGTGCAAGATTTGGGGCATTTATTATGTAAATTGCTCCTGACCTATGTTAATGCTGGCTTAACTCTAAGCTGGCTTTAAAAAGTCCTGTCCAGACTGAGACTCTTTGACAACAGCTTGGAAGGTATTCAGTCCAGACCACTGGCTACCACATCTTCCCATTGAACAAATCCCCTGCTTCTATGTGCTTCCACCTTTCTGTATAGAAAAGCAATGACCCATTGTTTTCCTTCCTGGATATATATACTTTTATATGCGTGTGTGTGTATATGTATGTACTGTATGTACATTCACACACACACAAAGTTAAATTATATTTACAAGGCTAAAGCATGAAAGGTAGACGGCTTTTTCTCTCCAGATCCCAAACAGCTCCAAGGTTATTTGAAAGCTGAGGGTGAACGCCTTCTGTCTCAAGCCACTGAAAAACTGGTGAACTAGTAGAACTGCACTATTAGAAAAAAAAGGAGGAAAGGGGGAAGCTTGGAAAGAAAAGTGGTAATTAAAAAACCAAAACAAGTTCCTATTAAGTTTCAAACCAGCCACATTTGGGTTATAAAGCAAAAGGGCTGTTGATTATGCCAGTCTTCCTGTCAGGATAAAAGGGAGTTCTAAGACTGGCTCAGATGAAGAGGTGGTCCTTCCACTGCAAAGTAGCCAATCCCCTACAGAAGTTAAGGGGCAACAGATTGAAAGTGCTCTAGGAGAACTCAAGCCAATGCAGGGAGGGAAAGTGTACTTCTGAACCAGACCAGGGAAATGGGTGTGGAAGTTGCTTTCCAAGTGAGGGGGAGATCAATAGAGGGTGACATCCATTTCTACCCTCCAGAAATGGCTGCCAGCCACTTTGCCAAGGGGTTAAGAAGTCTGGATCTGCTAAGAATGAGAATTTGAAGCAAGGTCTTCCAGCTCCATGACTGACAGCACTCATAATATACTCCTGAGATTACAGTTACTCACTAGTGGGCCAAGTAGCAAACCTGAAATACTAATAGAGACGCATTAATGTCCATTTCAGACCTGTTTCTTTTTTCCTATTTTGCTTGAGAAAAGGACATATCATTGGACCCAGTCCTTACAGCAACTTATTATTGCTTGCTATGCAGAGCAGTCCCAGCCCTTGTTCTTCAATATTTTTATCTTTATTGCAAGGCTGTTTTAAACATGTGCATGAGAAAGAGAGGGAGGGGGGAAAAAGTAATGAATGTTAAAATAAACATAACAATGTTAAAATTTCAGTCCTTTATAGAGCAGGACACCTAATCCCTTTGCTTATAACATTTATATAAGAAAAAGAGGAGAGAGAAAAATTAGGTGTATCTTGCTGGAAAATCTTGCAGCTCATCACCTGCTTATGAAATAAGGTTTTTTATGAACAGCAAGCTAACAAAAGTACTTCTGCCTAAAATTGCCAGAATAAATCAGTGGTTAAAAAAAGACTGCATCCTAAATCACACCCATCCGTCTTTCTCCCCTCATTTGGGAAGCAATGTGATTTTCACTTCACAGCTCTCCTTTCATCTGCTCTGTTCAAATTGCAGCAGACACTCTTCTCTGTAGTGTAAGTTCTCATATTAGGTTAGAATACAGATGAGTCAAGAAGGAATTCAGCTTCTACCTGTTTTCCATCCCCACGAGCATTAATACTGAGATACTAATAAACTCCCAAACTCCTTTGGAGATGGGTTCCTCAAGGCCTGTATTTAAGACTACTCCATACTTTAAGGAGCCATCATACCAGCTAAGATTCACCATGGTGTTCTGCAGCAAGGTAAACAAGTGTGAAAATAAATGTTTGTTCTTGAACATTCTCTGCATAAAGCTGAAACCCTTGGCTGATACGTGTTCTTGGTCGCTCAGGAATTACTGTCCGTGCCTTAAAGGAGAAAACAAATTTGCTACATAATGTGGGCTTGATACTCAATGACCTCTAGTAGAAGTAATGGAGAAGTAATCGCCACTCAATACAGGAAAGCAACACCAGGTGAAAGTGTCTTTTGCAGATGCTGACTATCCAGTTGTATGAGACCCTTCATACTTGCAAATAAGCAAAGGCTTATTTTCTCACTATTAAATTCTACTCTAAGGTTTGCTACATAGATGGGCCTGCAAACTGCAGAAAACAATCTCTAAAGGTTTGTCTGTCCTCAGTTTAACTACTTTTTAGTTTTATTGCAATTAAACTCACCTTCTATCTCTATGCATCTGATAAACAGTTCATCCAAAGAAATGGCAAGATAAGCTGCTTCACTTCTGTGCCCTAATTCATTCATCTCTCAAAATTCTAAGTTTAGTTCTCATCTAAATTATGATTGCATTTGATCTCCATATGTTTGTTCTAAGCACTGTTCATCTGTGATCACAGTTAATACTGTAAAAATGTTCCTTTATCTTTACATTTTATCAAATAATAGATAATGGTTGCTGTAATCCAAGAAAGATTTTGACAATGTCCAGTACCTCTCACCATTAGTTATGCTAACTGCAGCTGTCAGGATTTCTAGTTAGGCAGCTACTTTTCCCCACTTTGGGTTGGATGGACAAAATTTCTTTTTTAGAGAAAATACAATTATGATTAAATGATTCAGTGAACAAAACATTGGAACTTGAAGATGTCTGAGGGCTTCAGCTGGCCAGCCAGGCTCCATTATATTCTTCTCCTTTCCATTCTGCCTTCTTCCACAGTGTTTCATTTTTATTTTTTCCCCCCCCTAAAGATCTGGTCTGAATCAGCAGACTTACTCTCAGCGGTTTTGGTGGTTTTTGTTTTGCCCACATGACAAAGAAAAATGCTTTGGTTATTTTCCTGTTTAAAAATGCCTTTAAACCACGAGGTTCACCAGGTATGCTGATAACTCCCACAAGCACAAATCCATTCCAGCATATTTCCACAAAAAAATCATCTTTGTACTTTTGTGCACATTTTTGTGTGAAAATTCCTACCCATTTTTATACACAAATTTCGCAAAGAGACAAATGGTTGAGAGCACTTTTGATGCTAATCCTCTCTCTGAATGGAGAAAGATTTAAACAACTCAAAACTAAGTTCTCTGTGATCTTCTCATAAACACCTGGTTTGTCATTTTAGAAAAGATGCTGATCTAGATAGGACTATAATCTGCCCCAGGTCTTACCTTCTTATAAACTTCAACTAAATAATCTATAGAAAATGTCTCTCCTAATC